CCATAAAGCTCGTCTGCGGAAGGAAGCATGAAGTGTTCCAAAATCTCCTGGTAGACGGCTGCGTTGACCCTGGACTTAATGAAGCACAGTGGACCAACACCAGCAGATGACATGGCTCCCCAAATCAACACAGACTGTGGAAACTTCACGCTGGACTTCAAGCATCTTGCAGTGTGTGCCTCTCCATTCTTCCTCCATACTCTGGGTCCTTGGTTTCCAAATGAGATGCAAACGTTGCTCTCATTAGAAAAGAGGACTTTGGACCACTGAGCAACAGACCAGGTCTGTTTTTCTTTAGCCCAGGTAAGACGCTTCTGATGTTGCTTATTGTTCAGGAGCGGCTTGACAAGAGGAATACAACATTTGAAGCCCATGTCCAGGATCCGTCTGTGTGTGGTTGCTCTTGATGCACTGACTCCAGCCTCAGTCCACTCCTTGTGAAAGTCCCCAACACTTTTGAATGGCCTTTTCCTGACAATCCTCTCCAGGCTGTGGTCATCCCTGCTGCTTGTGCACCTTTTTCTTCCACACTTTTCCCTTCCACATAACTTTCTATTAATGTGCTTTGAACATCCAACTTCTTTTGCAATTACCTTTTGAGGCTTTCCCTCCTTATGGAGGGTGTCAATGATGGTTTTCTGTACAACTGTCAGGTCAGCATTCTTTCCCATGATTGTGATTCCTACTGAACCAGACTGAGAGACCATTTAAAGGCTCAGGAACCCTTTGCAGGTGTTATGGCTTAATTACCTGATTAGAGTGGGACACTTTGAGCCTAGAATATTGCACCTTTTTACAATATTCTAATTTTCTGAGATTGTGGATTTGGGGTTTTCATGAGCTGTAAGCCATAATCATCACAATTATGACAAATCACGGCTTGAACTATCTTGCTTTTCATGTAATGGGTCTATCTCATATATTAGTTTCACCTTTTAAGTTGCATTACTGAAATAAATGAACTTTTGCACGATATTCTAATTTTTGGAGTTTCACTTGTATATATCAGCTGACTATATCACTAAAGTGGCTATTATAAAAACATAGTTGGACGAAGGTCACAAACATTCATCCAGGCTGAATGAGTTATTCCATATTTTCTCTAATACTATGGAAGAGACTTACTAAAATTGGAGAGTGCAAAATCTGGTGCAGCTCTACATGGAAACCAATCAGCTTCTAGGTTTTTGTCAAAGCTTAAGTAAACAAGCTGAAGTTAGAAGCTGATTGGCTACCATGCTTAGCTACACCAGATTCTGAGTGCTCCAGTTTTAGTAAATCTCCCCAATGACTTCCCATAATCATCCGCTCTTTGTCAGAAATACCGTATTCTGAAAATATACTGCATTTTGGCCTTTAAATGGCATGGACAAACATAGGAAGTCATAGTATTAGAGAAAATACAGGGAAAATTCATGCAGCCTGGACTAAAGCTTGTGACGCACGTCCAGCAATTGTTTTATAAATAGAGCCATCTCTCAGAGAAAAGACAAATGCTCCCTTGCAATGGACCTATTTCACTAGAAGGGTTAAATGATAGTTTAGGTCTGGGGGGGCACAAAAAGCCGTTTTCCTCGGCCATTCCTTTGCTTACCCGCAGCTGGCTCTCCTCTGCTCCCATACGTTCCAATAGTGAACTGTCCTTGGGTGTGCTCACATCCAGTGCAGGGTTATGGGCTCTGCATTGGATTTGATAATGTCAGAGGATCTGTGACTACTGGAGCATAGGGGAGAAGAGGCTTTTAGCAACCCCCCCTAAACCTACCAATTAAACCTTGCAGTGTGGAGGCAGCCCCACTACAAGGGAGCCTTGTAGTATCAGTGTTGCTTATGTGGTTAGAATTTACAGCACCGCACCAAGCAACTTTTTAATGATAGTATTTAATAGACCAGTAGTGCAGCATGGCACTTGTAGGGCTTGTTTGTTTAGCTAAGAGCTCCCATAGCTACATGTCATTGCTGAGCACATTCACAGCAGAACAGCTTTAGGAAGGATGTTTGACTGGAAAAGCATGTTTACCTAAGGGCTAGAATTATGAATGAGCAACAGTCTTTGCTGACTCTTGATCTTTTTTCCAGATTGTAGGCAAAATTAACTTTCAAAAACCACTTGATATATTCTTGACTTTAAAAAAAAATAATAAATAGAAGATGATGTCAACCATGCAACTAAGTATTTTTAACCAGTGATACCTCTGATTGTTGAATGCAGGACACATAAGACCAATTCTGTGTATGAGACATTTCTATCTGTTACTATGCAAGGAATGATGAATGTTAATCCTGTGGACTAACATTCTTTCTTGACTTTTTTTTAAGGACTTACCTTGCTAATATTGTCTTACAAATTTGCAGTGAGCTTCATTTGGACTTTTGCTTTCTGCAAAATGTTTAGTTTGTTTTTAGCTTTTAGGTTCGCTTGTCAGCAGAATTTTGCAATGTTTTGTTTTCAGCAGCATAGGACACCAATCCCAGAATGTTCATCCAGCCATCAGTCAGAGTCATTGAATCTAGATAAACATTAGGGCAGTGGTCTAAAAAAGCAATAATGTGATCCTAAAGTAGTGGTCTCCAAACTGCAGCCCGGAGGCCGGATGCAGCCCTTTTCTTGGTTTTTTCCGGCCCTTGGGGCATTATTCCCCCCACCATCAGCAATAGTGGGGCATAGTTATTATTATTATTATTATTATACATGATTTATATAGCATCAACAGTTTGTGCAGCGCTTTACAAAATGAAGGTAGACATTACAGTTACAATACAATTTGGTACAAGAGGAAACAGAGGGCCCTGCTCGTTAGAGCTTATAATCTAGGAGTTCCTGCCACTCACACCAAGAATGGGGCACTATTCCTTCCACTGACAACAATAATGGGGCATTATTCCTCCTACTGACACCAATGATGGGGCACTATTCCACCCACTGACACCAATGATGTGGCACTATTCCTTCCACTGACACCAATAATGGGGCATTATTCCTCCCACTGAAACCAATGATAGGGCACTGTTCATCCTACTGACAGCAATGATGGGACACTATTCCTCCTACTAACACCAATAATGGGCCATTATTCCCCCTACTGACAACAATGATGGGGCACTATTCCTCCCACTGACGCCAACAATGGGACATTATGCCTCCCACTGACGCCAGCAATGGGACACTATTCCTCCCACTGACGCCAGCAATGGGACACTATTCCTCCCACTGACGCCAGCAATGGGACACTATTCCTCCCACTGACGCCAACAATGGGACACTATTCCTCCCACTGGCAGCAGCTATGGGACACTTTCCTCCCACTGACAGCAGCTATGGGGCACTATTCCTCCCACTGACACCAATGATGGGGCACTATTCCTCCCACTGACACCAACAATGGGAAACTATTCCTCCCACTGACGCCAGCAATGGGACACTATTCCTCCCACTGACGCCAACAATGGGACACTATTCCTCCCACTGACAGCAGCTATGGGGCACTATTCCTCCCACTGACACCAATGATGGGGCACTATTCCTCCCACTGACACCAATGATGGGGCACTATTCCTCCTATTGATACCAGTGATGGGGCAATATGTCTCCTGTTAATATCAATGATGAGACATTGTTTACTCCCACTGATACCAGGGCATTTTCTTCTCCCACTGGCCACAGTCCGGTCGCCCTAAAGTCAGAAGGACAGTAAACTGGTGCTTCGTTTATAAAGTTTGGAGACTCCTGTTCTAAAGTATAAGAAATAAAATGTCATACCTGCTCTGTGCAATGGTTTGAAACAAAAAGAAAGTGCACCAACCTTTCGCATTACCTCAGTAAACTGTGATTGATTTATTACATTTTATTGCATGCACACGGTAGTCACAGGTCACGGCACAGTGGTCTGAAGGAACTGCATGGGTATGCCATTCCTTCAGAGTGCATGCGCCTTCTAAAAAAAACCCTCAATATCTCCTAAACGGTGCATGTTTAGGAGATATTCATTTTACCTACAGGTAAGCTTTTTTATAAGCTTACCTGTAGGTAAAAATTAACAAAGTGGGTTTACTACCACTTTAACAATTTTGTGCACAATATGATAATCATACCCCAACAAACAATCTCTCACTGCTGCTTCCCTGAGCTTTTGGACTTCAAAGGTAAAAGTTAAGTGTGGGCAGTGCAATCTCTAGTCAGTCTGTTAATTTGGAGAAGAAGGCCATCCCAGACCATGGGGCTGTGTGTTTCTATTGATGCATATAGTGTAGGGTGACAGAACTCTAGTCCCTCTGTTCAAGGGTGACTCCATAGGATGCTGCAAGAGAAAGGAGCCATCCTGAAACAGGAAACTTGGGGTAGTGATCATGGCACCAGCTTAAACAGGAACATAGGCAAGGATTAAAAGATAAAGAAGCTTCTGTAAGTGATTAAATCAGCTGCTGAAAGTGCTTAAAAAAAAAGAGGATTTAATATCACTTTAAAGCCACAGAAGTAGATATTTAGCCAGATAAACATACTACTAGCAATCTCAATTTCTTTAGTCAGAACTCTACTTTAATGTCACAGAAGTTTTGCAGAATGTCTAAATATGAATGTGTTGTCCAAGTTAAACCCAGTGCACTCAATAATCAGAACTTAGTCAGGCACAGACGCACATTTCCTCTACATTACAAGCAAGTCTTTTCCAGCATAACGCATTGGATTGAGAAAGCAAAAACATTTTTACTGAGAGAAAATGCTCTTTTATAGCATTTTTAATAAAAAATCAGCAACAAATCATACAATAAAAGATGGGGGTACAGAAAAATAAGGAGATAAAAAGTCTAGCTCTGTACATAATAATAACATTATTACAGCAAGTGGAAGGATCATATGCTGTTGACGTACTGTTATTTATTTATTTAATTTGCTTTCGATATAAATAAATGTGTTTTTTATTACAGGCTGATAGTTAAAATACTTGCTCTTTTGTTTTCTCTAGTTGATGCATTGTTCTCTTGTTCTCTCTGAATTATAGATGTTGATGAGTGTGAAAGAAATCCTTGCCTTCATGCAGACTGTGTAAATACACAGGGATCCTACATCTGTCAATGTTATGCTGGATTCCAGAGTACATCAACTAGGACAGAATGCAGAGGTATGGGGAATCCATCATGAATAATAGAACAATTTAGTCAGCCTGAATGAAATCTGCATAGAATTAAAAGGTTTACCACTCTGACCTTGTGGTTTCTTTAATTAACATGTATAGGAAAATGAATATTGCTACAACCTAGAATTAAAATGCATTTCATTGTGATTTTTATATTTGATTTACACAATATATTTAACATTTTGAAGGTGCAAAGTATTTTTTATTGTAGCCTAAGCCCTTGTGCACACCAGTGCAGCTTTGAAATCGTGCTACTTCAGTACGATTTCAAAGCCGCAGATGCGATTTGGATGTGTGATTTTATTGCAGCTTGCAACTTCATTCAATGCAAGTCGCTGCCTAGGATTCTGGTGCAAATTTTAATTTTAGGTCAATATTTACTTGCTTTATTGGGTCACCAAGGTTTATGAAAATCATTGAACAACTATGAATGACACAGCCGAGAGATGGATGGTTCTCTATCTGGGACATAATGATATTTTGAGGGGCCATCTGGGAACTGATAAAATGGTAGTTCTGCTGGCCAGGGTTATAAGCTGGAGTAAAGAAATATTAAATATCGTGTCCCATCTCAGTTAATTGTCTGGTGTTGCCCCAGCCCCTTGGTGTCTGTGCCTGTAACTGAATTTATATTTGAAGGTATAGCCATGGGTTTGGTTAGGACCACTGGTAAACTCCACCCGAGGTCACCAATACATATTGGTGATCCTGGACTTTGTCACCCCATACCTTGCATTCCTGTGTGGAATACCTCATCCAAAACAATTGCCCTTGAACTGTTGCATATCCTTACTGGAACACAGAGGCGTCCCTAGGGTTGGTGTCACCCGGTGCAGTAACACGTGGTGTCACTCCTCCAGAGAGGAAGGAGCGGTGCCGTTGTAGCGGTAAAATGAGTATTCTGACCCGTGAAGATATGTATCCCCTGAAGCAACTGCGCATGTGCCGGTTTCAGGCCGAAGAAGCCAATCTCCGACTTTAGCACAGAGCTGCCATAGTTAACCCCTTACAGGCTGCAAACCGCTGAAGCTGATCCCGCGGATCACTTTGGGTTGCAAGATCAGTTAACCATGTATAGGTTGAACCTATATGGGGTTAACTGATCTTGCAACCAATAGTGATCCGCGGGATCAGCTTCAGCGGTTTGCAGCCTGTAAGGGGTTAACTGTGGCAGCTCTGTGCTAAAGTCGGAGATCGGCGATCGGCTTCTTTGGTCTGAAACCGGCACATGCACAGTTGCTTCAGGGGATACATATCCTCACGGGTCAGAATACTCATTTTACCGCTACACCAGGGGCAGCTGTCACTGTGCCGGCAATCCGGGATCACCCCAATAACTGGCCAGGACCTTCACAGAGCTTAGAAGCTCTGCTGGCATCCTGCTCCTGCACCCCCTGTGATGGTGTCACCCAGTGCGACCTGCACCTCCCTAGCTGTGGGACACCACGGATAGGACATGTTTCCCCAAAAGAAATTTAGTGCACTGTGTCGGTGTCAATGGTATGGCAGATGTGTGAAAGCTGTTTCAGATTAAACAGTTGTGCATATCTATCTGTAGACAAATGGTATAGCTGGATGCTTCAGCAAGACCCTAAAAGCCATGCCTAAGCAGGCAGTACAGAAGGATGGGAAAGATTCGATTGTGGCTGGCTTTTACCCGCATTCTTGTTTGCCATACACAGCATGTCTCAGGCCTCCATGGAGTTCCCACCCTTTGAATTGGTATATGGGTGGATACCCTGGAGATTGCTTCACCTAGTGAAAGAAGAAAAGGAAATTGCTCCCAACCTTCACAAGAGTGTTCTAGAGGACATCTGCCAAATGCAACAAAGGATCGCAATTGTGATACCACTGGTCCAGGGAACATTTGCAGAGTGTCCATGAGAAGTGGGAGATTGAGTGGCGGTGTTGATTCTAACATTGGAAAGCAAGTTTCTGACCAGATAGAAAGGTCCGTTTGAGAGTGGGAGATTTACAGAGTTCACCATTCAAGTAAAAGTAAACCTTATGAGCTCTATCAGTTGCTGAAGCCCTGGATAGACAGGGAACTAGGGACTGCCCTGGGAAATGTAATACTTGAGCCTCAAGTTGGTATGGATGGCGTCCTGGTGGCAACCACACTGTCAAAAGCCCAAATCCAGGAATCAAAGAAGTTTCTGCAAAGGAACAAGAGGATTGTGTCCAATTTATACGGGTTCATTGATGTTACTGAGCATGATATCACTACCTTGTCTCACAACCCTGATATTAGGACTAATAGCTGTTTTGTCACAGGTCATCCATGGAGAGAAGCATCCTGTGGCCCTTCTCAGTCATAAATTAACCATGGCTGAAAGAAACTGTGACATAGTAGAACAAGAATGCTTGGCTGTTAAAGTGGCATTAACACAAAATCAAAAATGCAATATATCGCAGCTTACAAATCATTAGATGGGATGGCTGCATTCATTTTCTTTTTTTTAAGGCTGGCTCGCAGTTTCTGCTCTAATTCATCCCAAAGGTGTTTCTATCGATTTGAGGTCAGGACTCGGGCATATTGGAAAAGGAAGGGGCCATCAGCAAACTGTTTCCACAAAGTTGGGAGCATGCAATTGTGCAAAATGTTTTGGTATGCTGACCCTAGGCCAAGCCCAACCCCTGAAAAACAACCCCACACCATAATCCCCCCTCCACCAAACTTTAAACTTGGCACAATGCAGTCAGGCAAGTACCATTCTTCTGGCAACCACCAAACCCAGACACATTCATCAGATTGCCAGACAGAGAAACATGATTCGCCACTCAAGAGAACACATCTCCGCTGCTCTAGAGTCCAATGGCGACATGCTTTAAACCACTGCATCCAACGCTTTGCATTGCACTTGGTGATGTAAGTCTTGGATGCAGCTGCTCGGCCATGGAAACCCATTCCATGAAGCTCTCTATGCACTGTTGTTGTGCTATCTGAAGGACACATGAAGTTTGCAGGTCTTTAGCTATTGACTCTGCAGACAGTCGGCGACTTTTGCTCACTGTGTGCTTCAGCATGACCCCACTCTGTCATATTACGTGGCCTACCACTTCGTGGCTGAGTTGCTGTTGTTCCCAGTTGCTTCCACTTTGTTATAATACCACTAACAGTTGATCATGGAATATTTAGTAGCAAGGAAATCTCACAGATTGACTTACTGCACAGGTGGCAACCTATCACGGTACCACAAAATGTTATTATGCTGATAACTATATGTGCTGAAGTTACTATCATAATTTCAGAGGGCAATGTCATCTGTTATTGCATTATTACTATAGCTTCTGAGACCTGTATGATTTTAAATCTCTTAAACAGAGAAATATACTGACTGTTTTCATAGAAGGCAGACAGAGTTGCCTGAATAGCATAGTAATATGTATCCATACTTAGACTGGGTTCACATCGGTGTGCTACGGTTTGGGTGTAGCATGATTGTATACGCGTTTTACATACAGTTTTAGGTGCATTCCCATTGACTTCTATTAGACTGTGCATTTTCATGAAAGCAAATCAAAGTCAAGCATGCTGCAACTTTGATGTGCTTTCAGAAAACACACGGTCTAATAGAAGTCAATTGGGGTGCACCTAAAACCGGCTGTAAAATGCGTATACAATCATGCTGCACCCAAACTGAGTAAATCAGGAACCCTGTGTATGCACATGCCAAGTACATAATCATGTCACATATTTTGCTTTTTTGCTAGATATTGATGAGTGCTTACAGAATGGAAGGATCTGTAACAATGGCAGATGTGTGAATACAGATGGCAGTTTCCACTGTGTGTGTAATGCCGGCTTTCAAGTGTCGCCTGATGGGAAGAATTGTCATGGTAATTTTTGTTCATATAAATGAATCTAATAATACATGACTGTTTCTGTTTTTTAAATGCAGCTCAGATCTTTAACCACTTGTCAACCAGAGCACGTTTTTCACTTTTTGCACACATTAAAATCTGCATTTTTTTGCTTGAACTTATTGTATAATTTCGGAAAGCAGAGACCCTGGAGAATAAAATGGTGATAGTTTTAATATTTTATGTTGCATGGTATTTGCACAATTATTTATCAAATGCATATTCAGGAAATAATACCTTTAAATGAATTTTAGTTCAAACAAACACAATATTCTACCCAATTTTTTGGTGAAATATAAAAGATGGGTTTGTGCTAAGTAAATAGGTGATTGTAGCCGTATTAGTGCATTTGCGACAGAAACAATTGAGTACTGTCCGTGTCCGTATTTGTAATAGTACTGCTTAGACCTTGAAGAAGGGGACATACCCCGAAAGCTTGTCCTCAAAATTGTATGTTAGTGTAAATAAAAAAAGTATCACGGACAGTACTCAATTGTTTCTGCTAAGTAAATAGATACCTAACATGTCAAGTCTTAAAACTGGTCATGCCTGTTAAATCACAAAAAACTATGGTACACTAAATTCTTCTAAGGCAATGCTTTAATGGCCTTTACAGGTCATCAGTTTAGACTTAACAATGAACTATCGACCTAGAATTATTGTTCTTATTGTGCCGTTCACAAAAATACCTCACATGTATGCCGTAATTGATGTTTTCATACACATGCTTGCCCTACCCTGTGCTTTTTTTATATGGGGTGTGTGCAGGGGTGCTTTAAAAATGTTTATTATTTTAATTTTTTTTAATGTAATTATATATATATATTTTTTGCTATCACAGAGGATCTAATAAGCCCCCTATGTGATAGCATGGGCAGGTGACAGGTACTCTAGACCTTGGGGGTCCATTAGACACTAGCTGAGAAAGGACAGCTGTGACCCTGAAATTGACATACTACATGTCATTTCCAGGGTCTTTAGTCACAAGAGGGATCTTATCATGAAGTAAAACACCTTCAGCCCCACTACAGAAGTCTTCACTGTAAGATCCTACTGGGTGCTGCACAGGCTTTAAATCCAGTGGTACTACATAGAGAGATTCGGTCACCCCATTGCTAAATAAAAGACCAGTTGCTTAATCATCGTTGTCCATCTTGCTTTATGTGCCACATGCTCTCTTTTCCAGCTTTCCTAGGAATTGTATAGATAAATGTGCCACCTTAACTAGCCCAATCTTCTCCAGGGGGTTCCTCTCTTTGGTCCTTTTATTGTTTGCTACTTTCAGTAATACAATATCAGTAACTGTAGGCTGAAAATATACAATTTTAGGGCATAAATGCCACTAAACTGGCTATTCTCTAATTTTATTGCTTTGCCCATTTTATGAGAATGTGCCTAATTTAGCATTGGATGGTCGTTAATAAATAATTTATCAAAGTTTTCCAAAAATAAAGTGTGTGCATGATTGAGGAAGTAATCATATTGTTACTGAAAACAATAGTGGTTGAAGACTGGCTGTTTTCCAACGAGGAGGCAAGGTTTTCAGGAAAATATTGTGTGCTGACAGCACAATAGTGGGATTTACACGAACTCTCTGAAACGGTGATACGACCTATTGACAAACCTTATCCAGGAATAAAATTCTGGTCTCAAAGGAAACCTTTGCTGACACAAATAAGAGGGCTGCCTTGTTTGACGTCTCCTTATGAAAATGCTTGCTGCCTGGCTGTCATGGTGATCTAAAGGCTATAATATTAGGTACTATCCCAGAACAAGTGTCCAGATCAGGAGTTCTGGCTTCTCTCTTGAAGGAGTGATTCATGAATTTTTCCATGTCAGCGGAGTAGGTGAGAAAATGGACAATTATAGCAAGGATGGGCGGTGTTTTGCATCCTATCATTGTTTAAAGAGCTGTCTCTGTATGGAAAATTCTCATTGATCAGGTTGTCTGATCTAACAACTTGTGCAACAATGCATCATCCAGGTTAAACTAATAATTGGAAATATACAGGTTGAAAGTGTAAATCTGATTGGCTGATATGGATCAATTTAGATAACTCCTATTTTAGACATTTTGATATTTTGGTCTGTGCATTATGTAAGGAGATTTAAAGCCCAACTCCCATAAAATGAAAAGTCCTTGCTTGAGGCTACACCTGCACTAGTCTTGAAGGACCTTAGATCTCCACAATGCAGGAGAGAACAGGCTGCCGGGATCAGTCTAGCACCATGAAGGAGTCTATGGTTGTAAGTAAGTAAAAGTGCTTTTCCAGTCCTCTAGACAGAAACAAACGTTTTTACTTTTTCTGGAGTTCAGTATTTAACACTGCTGATTTTGCTGGTGGCCTGGGGATCTCCAGTGATAACCACATTGTGTGGCTACAAAACAAGCTGCAAACCAGTAAAGCAGTATTAAATCCAAAAGAAAACATTTATTAGATTGCAGCTTACCAATTCTTAGATATGATGGCTGCATTTGTTTTCTTTTTTTGGCTTTCTTTCTTCTATTTTCATCTGGTGATCCAGCCAGTAAGTCTGTTGTTTTTCATAAGAACAAGGGGCTCCATTCACTAAAGCAAATCGCATGCGATATTTAGGTGATCTGACACATTTTTCCCAAATATCTCATGCAATGCAGAAAATTTCAGTTAATTCTCTCAGTATGCGGTATTTACATCAAAAACCAAAAATGAGGTATCGTTAAGAACGAATGGCACCCAAACACACATGATGCTTTTTTGTGACGATTGCAGTACAATTTGGAATTGCAGGCAGAATCGCAGCAATTTTTCCCACAATTCAAAATCGCGAAAGACAGATCTGTTATCTTTTAAAGGTTGCTGAGGACAAAGGATGTTCAGTGAACCTTTCATCTGCTAAAACATGTCTGTACAAACTATTGGCAGCATTAAATGAGGTTTAAGCTGTCCAGCTGGCAGTGTTACATCCAAAGTGGTAATAGTAAAATACCCATATGGCCTCTGTACCATAGGAATCAGTTTCCTTAGGCCCTTTTCACATGGGCAATTCGATCCATTTACACCCATACATCTCTGGGTCCAATCTGGTCTGCTAAAAAAAAAGCTGAATGGCATCTGCTGTCCTCTTTCAGTTAGGTGGACCAAAGGATAGTCAGGTGTAGATGGACAGGGGAGTCCGTTTACTTCTGGTCACCCATAGAACAGAGCAGGTTCTGTCCATGTCTGAGCAGGCACAGATGTTTCTTCTGGATGCTTTGCTCCAATCAGCAGGGGACATGTGAGCTGATCCCTTGCTGACCAGAACGGAATCCGCCCCATGTGAAAGGGGCCTTAAAGTGATACTAAACACAAACTGTTTAATTAACATTGTCCCTTTTTTTTCTGTATGTGGATGATGGCACAGTAATTATTTTAATTAAAAAAAAAAACGAAGTACCTTTTTCCTAATCGATATACAGCTGTCACATGACCTAGCTCTTTCTCAACCTGTCTGCAGGGAAACAGTGGCAGAAGAAGCTTCTAGTCCTCTGCTGCTGGTCACATGCTCAAAATAAAAAAAAAACAGCCTTTGAAATACAGAGTAAAAATAAATAATAATATCAATAAACTGTTCATCATCATACAAATATATATTTGAAATAAAATCGTATTTTTTTTGGCAATAACATGGTGTGAGCTGATTTCTGCCTATCACAAGCTATGTCAGCTATAGCCCCCTCCAGCCTGTGTCTTAAAATAACTTGCAGGTAAAGCCTCCATTAATCAAGATGTAATATCCCACCCACATTGTGTATAGCTGGTTAGTGGGCATGGAGGAGGAGGGAGGGAGTCGGCTGTCATTTGCCGCTGTATACACCCTCGTGCACCTTGTGACTCTATAGTCACATTACAGCCACTGTATATAGTAAATGGTGCATGTGTGCAGCTTTTAGTACTTTAAATGTTCTTCAGTTTGATGATAATGAATAAAGACCCAAAGAAAACAGTCTGGAGGTTCATTCCATAGCAATAACATTTCTGAAATACATTTTTCTATTGCACAAAACAGTAAAAAAATATAAAATTCTGATATGTTTCCAAAGTCCATACACTAAGGAGTATCCTTGTACAACTTAAATGCTGAGTTTGTGGCCCTGAGGTCACATGCAGCTCTCCATCACACTGACAGTGCTTTTAGCAATGACAGAAACATACTCTTGCTTTAAGAAAAGAGAACTAAAAAAAGATCAGGACTCTCCAAGGTGCTGTATTATACCTATCACTTCATGTTAGTGCTGTCATTTTTGACACCTGATTAATCAAAGCAAATAATATGTAACATGTTTATTTTACAGATATGGATGAATGCAGTGTAACGAACATGTGCCTTAATGGAATGTGTATTAATGAGGATGGAAGTTTTAAATGCATCTGTAAGCCTGGATTCCAGCTTGCACCAAATGGACGATTTTGTACAGGTATGTTTTAATGTCCTGTCTGTGTCAGTTCAGCATTAAGTGAAAAAAAAGTAAATGTGAGCAGAGTTTTCAGAAGTAGATTTAGTTTAGATTTTAGACTTAAATTAAAGTTAGTATGCAGTATAAATGTCTAAATGTTATAAGCTATACAAAAAATATTAATAGATTCATTAATTGAACTTCAGGCAAAGGTTGTTTTCCACGTTTGGATAGAGTGAGTCAAGTATAAAACCCATGTCAGTTTATTATTATTATCTGTGTCTCTGTTGGGAAGATATCCCCTACTTCACAGATCTGTCATTGGCTGTCTTGAAGACCTAATTGTTTGGATGCATTGGAAGTTGTAGTCCATCACTGTCTATAATGCAATGTTATTATGCACTTTAATAATATCACCAGTATCATGCTTTACGTCATCATCCCCTAAAACACATCGTATGTTCCTAGTAATTTAAAAGCCCTAATTCCATTAACGTTCCACTAGTATTCAAAATGGTTTCCTTTATCACATATAATTCTTTGTTTTCAGTATTTTTATGTACTAAACACGGGTATTACAACAAATTTTGAAACCAATGTTTTATGCAGCTGCCTAATGTGATTGGACGCTTTTCAGAGTGGTTCACTCTTTGGGTGAGCCTTTGGCTTCTGTAACTAGAACCCTCAAGGAGGAAGATGTGGGGCCGGCCTGTAATGTTTCTTCAGGCACTGGATCCTACATTAGGCTTTCACCTTTTCATGCATTACAAAGGACTTTGTTAGCTCTAGGGTGCTATAAAGGTCCAGGGCTTTGGTTCATCTCCCTAGCTCCCTTTCGTGGGGGAGCTCACTGGGAGTGCGAAGTCCTGGTGTGTGCTTGTCCCTTCACTCCACCATCAACTTTCATTAGAAGACCACAAGTGTGAGGTAAGCCAAGGCTTTGACCCAACCCTGGTGCAATATCCTATTGAGGAAGAATTCTTGAATAAATGGGACGTTCTTGTTGTAGACCCAGCCATTTCCTGTATTAGCCAAACCTTGACTATCCCTTTTAAGAATGTTCATGTATTCAAGGACCCCATGGACAAGAGGTCACAAGTCCCTTGAAGGCCTTGTTCACTCTGGCAGTCCATAATGTGCAATCTGCTGCCACCATGGCCATCTACCAGACTTTAGCCGTCAAAATCTGTGACAAGGTACCCAGGATTCATCTTGATGGATCCCTCTTTACTTTAGCAAATGTAAACTTTTCCCTGTGGCACTATACTATTGTGCCAGTTGGCTGATGGATACTCATCAGGTATCTAGGATATGTCTCTTTTTTGGTTCATATGAGGCAGATCCCTTGAATTAAGCACTGGTCTGTGGAGGTTTGGTGCAAGAAGTGCCTCAAGCGAATGCCCTTTGATGGGGAACACCTGTTTGTGAATCCTTGGATACCTGTTTCAAGAAAATCACAGACTATTGATGCCACTGGAAAATAAGGAAAAACCTCTATTGGGAAAACCTGCTGCTCCTGGAATTAAAAAAAAAATCCTTTCATTCTTCTCAAGTTTCTGGAGCCAGGACAAAGCTGAGAACTCAGTTTCATTGCAAGACCTGGTCCCAAAAACCAACCAAATCTGGAAGCAAGCCCTCTTTCTAATGAATGGGTGCCCCCACTTGTTGAAGGGGGGAAGTCTGTTGGCCTTTCTGTCCATCTGGTCCCAGAATGTTTCCAGGGCTTGGGTCCAGAACTTCCTATCCAGGGACTTAAAACGAATTTGTTCCCTACGTCCTCCTTGCTTCATGCTGTCAGATTTGCCAACCTCTCCTCAAAGGCTGCCAGACCTCCTCGCTGATTTAGAGCATCTCCTCTTTCAAGGGGTCATCACCCCTGTCCCAAAGATGAAAGGTTCCAAGTTGTTCTCTGTTCAGTACAAAAATTCTCTATGGAATCTGCTTTGTCAGTGATTCCCTCCGTTCACCTGGGAGATTGCATGGCCTTTGTGGACATCAAGGTTGCTTACCTGCATGTTCTTACCTTTCTGCACATCAATGCTACCTTTATTTTGCAGTGAGCATGCAAAATTAGTAAGTTGTTGACCTTTCTTTCTGCCAGTCCACTGCTCCGTGGGTCTTCACTGAGGTGCTGGCTCTTGTTCTGTCCTTGCTCTCAGGGAATTCTCATTGTAGGATATTTGGACTTGGACAACCAGCTGCTAATGAAATAGTCAGCACAGATTCCTGGTGGATGCCAGTCTGTCAGACTAGGGTGGAGTTCTGCAGGGGAATTGATGTTTAGAGAAAGCTTTGCTCCCGACCAATATTCTGGAGCACAGGGCAATCTGGTTGTTTCTTCAACACTGGACCTCTTAGTTGTGGGGTCACCCAATCAGGATTAAGTCACATAATGCCATTGTTGTGGCTTACGTCAGCCATCTGGGAGGTACCATAAGTTGCCCAGCTCAAAGAGTGTACCTGATTCTGGCTGTTTGTTGCAGAATTCTGCCATTAAACTTTCGTTAAAGTCTGATTAAATTGGGGTTGTTTTTACAATATGTCCTAAAAGAAGGATGTTTGCAAGTATCACAGAGAATCTCTGTTTCTTTCTGTCGCAAGTGGGGGGCACCAGATGTGGTCTACCTGGCCTATAGGTTCAACAACAAACTGGACAGATTTGTCACCAGGACGAAGGATCCTTGAGCTTTCACTGTATATGCTCTGGTAATATTGTGAGATCAGTTCAGCCTGATCTACACTTTTCTGCTTCTGAAGCTTTCTTAGCAGGTTCAAGATGGAAGACATTCCAGTGATCCCCCATTGCACTGAATTTGCCCAGCAGACCTTGGTTTTCAGACATTGTTAAGCTCTACATGGACCCTCCCAGATTGTCCAGGCCATCAGTCCCTGAAACTGGTCTACCACTCTACTTCTCGATTGCTGGTTTTATTGGCTTAACAGTTGAAGCCCTGGGACAGGGACCTAATGAAATCCATCCAACACTTCCAAATACTAAGAAATCAACTTCTTGCAAAGTACAGCCATACTTGGAAGATATACTTTGCTTGGTGCGAGGCCAGGAAGTTTCATCATAGGAAATACTCCATGGGATAAATCCTGTCCTTTCTCCAGTTGGGTCTAGATAAGTGTTTTTATTCTAGAGTACTACCAAGGGTCAAATTTTGGCCTTAGATTTTTTTTTTTCAGAGGCCGCTTCTCACTCCTTAGTGAAAGTCTGCCTGCAGGCAGTTTCTCACATTGTTCCTCCTGTAAATTCTCCAGTTACTCCATGAAATTTCAACTTTGTTCTTTTGGCTCCTTAGAGGCCACTCTTTGAGTCTTATAGAGATATTGCTCTGTTGATTCTCTTTGCCATCCCTTTTGCAAGGCAAGTTTCTGAGGTGGAAGCCTTGACTTGTAAAGAACCTTTTCATATGCTTCACAACAAGACAAGGCATGTTTGGCCTAGGACATCTTTTCTATTTAAGGTGGTTTCTTCTCTCCACCTTAACCAGAAAATTATTTTACTACCTTTGTCTCCTACAACTAAAAATCCTTAGGAGGTTTCTTTCTAGTGTTTAGATCTGGTGCACACTCTTCAGTACCTCTTAGCCACAGCCCCTTTTTGTTAGTTTGACTCTCTGTTTGTCATTTTTAAGGGCTCTGGCAAGGGCCACTTGGCTTCTCATTCCACTATCACTTGGTGAATTTGGCAGCTCAGCATTTAGGCTTATGACCTTGGTGGCAAGGTTCTCCCTTTTTCAGTCAAGGCACACTTTACTAGAGGTGTTGGTGCTCCCTGGGCTTTTCATTGTCAGACTTTGGTTACTGAAATCTGCAAGGCTGCCACCAGGTCCTCAGTTCATGCATTCGTTAAGTTTTACCAAGTGAACATCCTCAGCAGATTCCAGCTTTAGACATAATGTTCTTCAAGTGGCCCTGTGAACTGAGAAGTCTTATTTGTGCTGTTTTTCCTTGAGCATGTTAGCTGTTTGTTTGCTATGTTGCACATCCCTCATTGGATTATTTTTGGATATTCCAGAATTATCCTGTGTCCTAGGATGTACAATTAAGAAAATGTTTTTGCCATACTTGTAAAATAATTTTCTTAGAGTACATCACAAGAGTCAGGTCCTCCAGTTCTATATCTATGATCCACTTGTGTTATTGCTTGCTACAAAACTGAAGGCATGCTGGGAGTCATTGGAGTTGTTTAGATCTGTCCAGTCACCTGAAGGCAGTTGCATAACGTATTGGTTCCATCATTGCCATCCTATGGCTTGTGATGTCCTTTAAATGGATTTTACAGGAAAGACAATGATGCCTTTTTTATTTATTTTACCAATAAGAACTTGCACTGTGTTCTGTTACTGAACATGTCATGTAGAGTGAACAGCCTGTGTTCATTACAAATATTGCATACATATCTGAGCCTATAATCTTTAGTCTATTGGGAATGTGGTTTCAAGCAAACACTATCCTACCAAGTCATCAACATGAGAGCAAAAACACATGTGCAACCAAATTAATTGTGGTGTATCTGGCTTTGCCTTGTTATTTTTTGTTTTGTCAGAAATATGTAGTTCTTTATTTTGATATGCTCGATAAAAACTCAGAACATCGACCTCTCTTGCTGTGAAATATTTTTACATAGATTAACAATTGAAGGAATCTGTATAGTTGCACATTGTCACTGAAATGAGAAAGAACAAGCCTACATATGTTTAGCCACTTTGGGACTATTAAAAATCCACATGAACATTATGTTCTGCTAGATTACCACCACTGTGAGAAAAAGAATTGAATCTGAAAGATGCACTCCAGGAATCAAATACCATAAATGAATGAACTGCTAATCTCATTAAACCCAAATCCAATCTAATCACCTGTATGAGTAAAGAGTAGGTCTCAGAGTGTGCAGTCTGTTGTAGAATTGCCATACATCAGAACATTCCTTCTTGCTATTATTGAGTCAACTAATTTTGTATGAATGCTCTTAAAAATTTCATCTGGACTCTAGCTGAATGGAATCCAAAGCA